ATTCTTCATTCGATTGCACACGCAATCTGCCCAGGCGACACAATAGAACGATGTACCCAGATCGCTATCGGAGATGGTATACAATCAAAGTGCATTAGCCCGACGAATGTGCGACCGTTGCTCGACATTGGATGCTTCCGCACTGAAATTTTTTATTCGTAATTTCTCTTTTGCTCATTTCGTAAAAATGGTTTTCGTAGATAAAACAATTATTTCGTTTGATCTGCGAAACATTCCTATTGCATGTCATCAGATAAAATTTCAACATTACACTTAATTCGTAGAATACACGAACTGAATTTCGTACGGATATTAAAACTACCTTTTGGTCGTCAGTGCAAATCAGTTTATAGCATACAATTTAGTTCCTGGGCAGCTAGAAGAACTCGATCATCATCATGAGACAGCTAAATATTAAAAACGGTAAGTACATTAATGTGTTGTGATGTGATGTGTTGATGATACTAATAATCCAATTGATAATTTGCAGGATGTGGTTCCCGTATGGAATCCGGTTTGCAGCTAATCCAGTTGTATTTTATTTTAAATTCCTTCATCGCAGGATTAAACTGTGTGCATCGATGTTTGTGCTGCCCACGTTGGATGGATGCAAGTTACGAAACGAAATTACCCAATGGATTTGTTCCTAATTAATCAGCGTTAGCGGAAATCCAGCGACAAAACAACCCACGGAATTAAAGACGTGCTGAGTGATGATGCCCCGAATATGAATTAAAAATGGTTGTACAATGCGTATCAGCGGGTTTGTTTGCGCTGAGTGATATTTAGTGTGACAAATACAGAAGTAAAATTGTAATGATTGTTTGTTTTTTGTATATTTGATGATGATTGTTTGTTCCACCAGTACTCTGCTGTTGTCCTCCCAGGTGACCATATTCGTATTATTGTTGTTTCTGCTGGCACTGATTGTTGGGCAGATGCGAATGTACTAACTTTTTCGTACATACAACAATTGCTAGAAAGTCACTCTTACTTTTCAACGAAACTTTCGTAAGTGTGTATTATTTATCGTACAATGTATGAATGCTGTTTTATAAGTCTACTAATTATTCGTACTTTTCTTCGTCATTGGCATTTTTACATACGAATAATTCGTAGCGATTCGTAAAATGCAAGAATGCTACGAAATCAATTAGGTTGGTACATTAAACGAATCTCGCTTCATACAAAGTACGAATATATTTCGTTGCAGATAGCAACGAATGAATTCGTGGCACAAACGAACGTTTTCGTAGTATAAACGAAATTTTATTTTCAGTGCGCTAATGGGAAACGGGCAAAGTGAGCGCGCGGTGGCCTCTAACCCAAGAAAGGCATCTTATCGGCGCGGTGGTTGGTCTCAGAAATTAATTTGGTTAAATGTTTTATGAGGTCGATAGCCAGCAATGTGAGGGACTAGTTTTACCGCAATGACCTTCCGATGTAAGATGATCTTGGATCTCATGTATTACTCATAACCATTGCTCACAACCGCAAATCAGCCTTTCGGAATGCCGTGCGCCACACAGTAGCTCGGCAAGTTTAGGAGATTTACGTCATTTGGTCAATCTGATTAGCAGAAGGTCTATGAGGAGTGTAAAGGTAGGCGAAGCCATTAGGATGGTATGGGCATGTATCGCGAGATTTCATGATCTAGTCATATAGATTAAATTTAGTAGGTTATTGTTTACTGGGAATTCGGAGAAGCTAAAGCATCCTTGTACGGGAGTTTTAGAGAACATGTTGAGGAAGTCCATGATTCATTCCGGGAAGGCTGTGAAGCTCTTCCTGGGAATATTGTGCAAACCTTATGAAAGAGCTTGGGATAAAAAAAATTAGAAGACATCTCGGGAAAATCCACGGAATCAACTGGTAAAGTTCATTGGAAAATAATCCGGGAATGCTCTATTATTTGACCGAATACCTGTAAAGTTTAGTGGAAGTCAAAAATAAATTATAAAAACTAGTTTTCGTTAAGGTACACCACAGAGATTGATTGATTTATCTTTATTAGGGAGGCTTTCAGCCTGGGGCTGGTTCGCCTCTAACTCCACCACAGAGACTTATTGAACGTGGAAAAACAATTTAAAATAATGGATTTATATCTGAATAAACTAAGGGTCAACATTTTTGTCTAAGCGCAATCTACGTCGATAAATCATTGTAGAATATCGTTTGGATTAAATTTAATTAATCTTTAAAATAAAGATTTTAAATTTAACTATCAACTACTCCATAACAAGAACGATATACATTATTCTCCAACAAATGTTTCTATTATGTAAATATAGCGGCACCGGTGGTGTAATGGTAAGCGCGATTGCCTCTCACTCCAAAGGGCCTGGGTTTAATTCCAGTCGCTACCGTCTGGATTTTCTGAGGCATAAAATCTCTGATCACGCCTTTCTTCTGAAGGGAAGTTAAGTCGTTAGTCCCCAGTACATGAGTTGATGGGTCGATAGGTAGGGTCCAGGTGTGGGAGCTGCCTCCCGGTAGCATTGATACTCAGTACGGAAGACAAGATCGACGGAAAACAAATCAAAGAAAAAAAATGATGTGATACCGCAAAAGAGCCTAGCTAATATGAGCAGTATATTTCGAAGAAAATGATCAAAAACACTGCTCATCCATAAACCTGGTGGAATGAACACAAATCCAAATTAGTGTTTGGAATGTGAACAATATCGCAATAGTCTTCTTTAGGAATATATAGAAATACGTTGGAGAAGCGAGGATAAAATGAATACTTGGAATTTTTCCATTTAGCACAAAGGCTTTTTAAGCATCGATTTTACGTTTTCAATCGTTTACATTTGCAGAAGTTTTCAAAATTTAAGCGGTGAAATTTGAAAAAAGCAATTTGTTAATTTTACCTACTATATTAATTTTCGGCCCAGTTCCCCTACATGCTTGAAACGGAATTAAAAAAATAGGGGAACTGGATTTAATGTCGGCCTAAATGCCCCTAATTTGGGCCCATACATAAATACATCAATGGACTAAACTTTCAATAGCGCTTAAAAATATCCATTAGTACCGTCCAAAGGCGTCGCGTGCCTCATTTGTTTACCTGTGCACCAAACTTAGTTCGTTATAGCTTGCCACCACATATGAGTTTTTGTTTAATTTTTCAATGCTCCATGAATTCGAAGGACATATTCTCAATTCCTATCTTAATCACTACCTAACGTAACATTTGAAGGGCCTATCATCTTGTGTAGACAAAACTTGTATGGCCCTTTTTGCGCTAACCGAAGAAGTAGGAATTGCAAAACTTAAATAATTCTCGTTTTTACCACAAGGCTAACTCTTTCGACTGAAGTGTAATGAAGAATATCCGTCAAACACTTCTGAAGCATTTTTTGATACAAAACAGTGTCAAAATCTAAGGAAAATTAATGAAGTCCCCTGAGTAGCAAACTTGAATTAATCAACTCGTTATTCATCAGAACAACACTATCAGAATGAACCAGGGGAAGCTCATAAGTTTTGAAAGGGGCACCGGCGCCGAGATGGTTTTATCACAGGTGGACAGGAGCTCACGGGATCCCAGTGTTGGTGAGTTCCTTTGCCGTTAATTTTCACGAAAAGTTCACTATTTTGCCATATAGAAATTAAAAAATATGGGCGGATTTGAACAGTTTTTGACCTATTTCATACAACCGGAAGGAGTATGCTGGTCAAAAATGCCGTGCCAAACTGATTTCCTACGCAATTAATCAACCTTTGATGTGAATTTCGGTAATAACCACGAAGAGCATTTCTTATAGCAAAACTTTCCATAACAAAATGGGCATAGCTCATTTTAGTAAACAAACTAACACTTCTTCCTTGTGTCACCTTTGATGAAGCTCCTAGCACCGGCGCAACCATCGGTAATTGAGAGATTTACAACTGACAAGAGAGTGAGAGAGAGCTTTTGCGCTCTCTTTCTCCATTACTCTCTTTGCCTACAATCAGATATCCAAGTGCACAGCGTAAAATGCACGCTTTAGGCACCCATACATCACAAATGTTCTTCTAAATTAAAATCACACATTCAAGCCAGTCTGCAAGTATGATAACGTCCAAAGCGTACCAGACTGCTGTTTCCGTGTTGCTCCCGTTTGACGCGTGACTGCTGAAAGTTTCAATTACAACTAGTGGTTCAACCGCCTTGTATTGTGGAAAATGTGTGGTATGTTTCAAGAGGTGATAGAAGGTCTGCTAGGCTTTCATCACGCATTTTAGGTGCACTATTTAACGAGTGTTGTCATGGTAGTGATATCGAAATGATTAAAAATCTATGCATTAGGGATTAGGCAGACCATCGGAGCTGAAATTAATCCTTTTTGAAGCAAACCAAGGTCGAAGATTTAATTGAGCTACACTAAAAAATAGTGTATTCATGGTCACTGGTGGTCTGGAGTGGTCTGGAGTCAGCAGTGACCAGAAAATCTATAAAAATCTGAACAAGTTTTTTTAAAATATTTACACTTGTGTCGTGCACAGGTTGCACATGTGGACACGACGCCACTGGTACCATCTCAATGACTCGTTCATCTAGATAAAATTGGAAAAAAGCAGATTTTTAGCGATGGGCCCAATCTTAGATCCATAGGCCAACATTAGAGCCATTTCCCCTACGAAAATTGAATAGCTCAGGATTTAGGTGGCGAAATCTTTCACTTCTGCGATGCCCTCATCACATTTAATAAGGGAAGCCTTAAATGAGCTATCACAGCAAATACTCTATATTATACCTGTGTACTCTGACATAATGTGGGGTTTATTCAGCCCAGGCATGCTAGGTACATTTAAAAAAAATCTTTAACGAAATCTACGAGATGTCTTCTCATGTCGTTATTCATATTCAATATTTCAGATTTACATAACGGATTCTTCCCAGCATCTTCATAGAAGTCAAGAGTAATTCGTTAAAGCTAATATAACCTCATTTTATTTCTGAGAACTCCGTAGAAGCTCGGAGGACTTCTTGAATGTAAAAGACATGTTGTAGAAGCTTTGCGCAGTGACGATATCATCACCAATGAGGTTCATCCGAGGTGCGTTTATTGCTTGTTGAAAGCAAAAAATAGGTTGTAGAATTTTGAGGAACTTCATAGAGCTTCAAGAAAAATTGAATAATTTTTGAAAACTTCGTAGACATTTATTGAACTTAACAGTGTTCACTCGGCATTTACCTTTGCGCGGCAGATGACACGATTGTGTCGGTCTCATAGCGGTCGTATGAGAAAATCGAAGAGTTGCCACCTCTTCAATGTTCTTCATCAGCAGTTCTTTCGGTCGATGCGTCGTCGACTTTGGGAAAAAAACCGTTTCGTGATGAGTGTGTGAGTGATGGCCACGTTTTGCATCCATTGCTGCAATGGAAGCGTTCTGCCCCCCCCGTTGGCGATACTGCTTTAAAATGAAAAACCACTGGAAGCGAACCTCTTTCTGATGGAGGAAGCTTATTGGATAGCGGTAGATTAAGTGTTTGTTATGCAGTACCTTTTAATTCTTGTTTTACGAACAAGAATTCTCAGCTATGTATAGGAGAATTTACGTATTCCTGGCAACCTAAGCAGCGACCATCGTTCTTTAGCCTTTTTCTCTAAGGAACGCACACATATGCAGTGTTGATTTGTTTACAATCTTTTGCTGCCAGCGACTGTAACAATTTCAGTCGAAAAAATTGTCAAAAACTGTTTTGAAACGTTTTTACAAAGCTCCAATCTTCTCTAGTGAGAGCGACTATTGTGGGCAATATCTTTCTATTTGAGCTGCGTGTTAAACCGCTGTGCTTTCATCGGCAACTCGAAATCAGCATCATTTTGTAGTGCGTGTGTTTCATTTCAAGAAAACCCCACTAGATTGCATTTTCTCAGAGGTAAAAATATAATCAAATTGAAGCTGAAAGCCTAAAAAATCGTTGAATGAATTCAGCGAATTGTTTTCCTAGGAAAATCTAGTGAAATAAGCGTTTCAATTTGGGTTGCCGAACCCGTCATTTCCCCTAGTAAATTCGATTGAGCCTCATTAAATAAATTAATTAACAAAAAAAAGCATGAACTGTGTAAAAGTGGGGGGAACGACTCTATCTACGATATATATATATAGGAAAGATTTTGTTTTTGCGTGGTTAGCTGCGCGCACGCTGAGTAGATAGAAACAAAATTGATGACGATTCTGAAGATTTCCTGCAAAAGATGAAGATTTTTCGTAGATTAATTTGCTAGTGTGAGATTTTTTGAGCTTCTGGAATTGAGATAAAGATGTGATGACCCCCTCGGTAAAAGGTCAAGAAACTTTCTAGATATGCAACAAATTTGATAAAAAAAATCAGCTAAAATTAGTGAACTTCACAGAACTTCAGATAGTTTTGTAGAACTTCAATAAGTTTTTTATAAATTCAGAGAACTTTGTAGAACTTCTTCAAACGTTGTTGAAAATAAGCGAACTTTAGAGAAAATTAGCGAATTTCGCAGAAATTCGGCAAATTTGTCAACTTTCAGGGTTTTTCTTCAATTACATTGTTTTTTTTTTTATGGTAAGCGTGATTGGCTCTCACCCCGAAAGGCCTGGGTTCAATCCCAGTCAGCGCCGCCGGGATTTTCTGAGGGATAACATCTCTGATCACGCCTTCCAGGTGTGGGAGCGTCGATAGCATTGGTTCTCAGCACGGAAAACAAATCAAGGAAAAAAAATCCTAGGAAGGATCTGCATCTTAGCAAAGACATCAAGAAGACTGGCAACTCTGCCAGAATCCAAGCGACAGATACAGTAGCGCTGCACTCGAGAGAATGTGGAAGTACTGCATATAAAAATGAGCAAATGCACAAACCTTTCTTCTGAGGTTGTAATCTTTGCTATCAAATTCGTACGAAGCATTTACCTTTGCGCGGCAGATGACACGATTGTGTCGGTCTCATAGCGGTCGTATGAGAAAATGGAATAGTTGCCAGTCTTCTTGATATGTTGTCTTCAATCTTAGTCTTATAATTAAAAAAATCGCAAAATTTGATCAATTATCAAATTTTCCGATTTCTTTCATTAACATTTGAATTTGAAGAATTTACACTCACAATCTGTATCATAGGTATCTATTTTTTCGTTACAAAATCTTGAGAACACAGGGGTTTGGGATCTCAAAACTATTTTTATTTTAACTTGCAGAATGTTAAGAATTGTCCATTAACATGTAGTATGAACATTTTCCGAAGTTTAAAATGTATAAAATTTAATCTATGTGCTTATTGTCGTATCTTAAAGTTAGAAATTTTGAAAATTATAAATTCAAAGCCCTGAGATTTAATTTTGGTACCTATGTCTGAGATTTACTTGATGATATATTGATTTATATTTCACTACCGATCATAAGTTTAGGGACAGCCCCAAAAAACCATGCAAATATGTTTTGTTCAATGATCTCTCATTTTACGTTCAATTTTCGATCTCCAAAGGTTATTTGAATGGTATGAATGGTATAAGTGTTCTACTACTACTTTTATTTCAAAATTTGGCCAACCCAATTCTGAGAAAATCAGTCACGATTTTTCAGAGTAAATGTTAAAAATATTGTAACTTTGGGTGAACTTTTAGCACACAAAATTTGAAAATTATATTGAACAATGCCTACGAGGAAAGTTCCATTCAATACCGTTCAAATGATATAAAAAGAACGAAAATTGGACGTAACATGACAAAGATATGAACATAACAAATTTGTCATGTTTTTTTGGGGGTGCCCTTAAACTTATGATCGGGAGTGTAGAAGATCTGAATAAAAATCTTGTAATAAAATTCATGGAATTATCTAACTCTGAGAACAACATAACATGATAATTTTTTTAAGTTTGGGATTCCTAAAATCTTAATGAGATCCGAACATTATGTAATTTCATTACAAAAAGCTGGAACAAACGATCATAGCTGGTTGAAAATCAGTAAGTTTGTAAGGCTCCCAAAGCGTTGTTATTAAATAAATGAATAGAAATAATAGTGTAAATGTATCCAACGCCTTTTGATTCAATAGTAGTTTCAGAGTTTCTATTTAACAGTAGTTTAATAAAACAAAACAAAAATGCCACAGACTCCCCCTAGGCCTTCTTCAGCAATTTTGTTTAGCTACGCAAATGTAAATAAACAACTTGAGACAGAGATCCACCAAGTCCGACAAAGTTGTAGACCAACTCATTTACAGCAAGTTTGCTGAAGGAATCAATGTTCTGTTCTAATGATTAACGATGTATACATGTGTTTAATATGTAATGAAGGGTGACTCCTAAAAGATCGTTTTTCAAAAGTTACTTTTCATACATTGACTTCTCGTAAAATATATGTTCTGGGCACTTGTTAAAAAATTATAGCGCTCATTTTTATTGAAGCAACTCAGTTGTTCAGTAAAAATACACACTTTTCAAATGTGAAAAAACTGACCTTTAAAGTTTTTTCACCGTAGATAAATTAAAGTATGATCTTTCAAATACAACTAATAGCATAGAAATCCACATGCACCATTTTTATTTATACATATTAAGATATAAATAAGGACAATTTTTCAGTGAAAATCGTTTATAACATTTCACAAAAATTAGTTACAGGGCTGTTACAAGATTTTCAAAAGAAATCCGCAACTTCAAATACTAATCCATGCAAAAAAAAAAACTGTTTTCATTGCCTAAAAATACCATTTGGCATTAGGCATTTCAAGCTTATTGCTTATATCATATTAGATTTTTGCCTGCTCTCAACTTAGTGTTCTTTTAAGTACTTTCACATCCTATGCCCAAGGAAGTAGAGAAATTTTCCAACCCGAAAAATTAATTAACCGGACGGGAATCGAACTCAGTCACCTCCAGCATAGACTTGCTTTGTAGCTACGCCTTTCCCGACTGAGCTAAAGGAGTATCGTTTGTAAACTTTGAAAAAAAATAACAATGCATAATCTTCAGTTATTAATGTATAGTTTAAATTCTGAGTAATTAGTGAACATAATAAAACACCCTTACAATATGAGATTTTATTGAATAATACCGGCCTAGATTTGATTAAACATTATTTAAAAGATAATAATGCATTTTCATTTGAAATGCAAATTTTCTTGAAAATTAACCTTTGCGTCTCTGACGTATTTTGCTGTCTCAAATGTTGTAGTTAATTTGGCTCTAGTTTTCTCAATTTTTTACCGATTCAAACCAAACACCCTGCACATAGTCGAGAAATTACCAGAGTTTCATAAGTCACACTTGCTGGCAGTGCTGTGCATTATCATAACGGTTATTGTACCATGACGGTCATCCTCACATTACCGTCACCTCTCAAAAATGACGGTCAACTAGCATATCACTTGGAAACACCTTTACCTCACTAGACCGTCTTCATAAAAGCCATCTATGACAGTTAGATTAAATGGCAAGGAGAGAGTAGCAAAATTATTCACTCACTGATCATCTCTGTTGAAAATTTATAAGTGGGAAGTGAGAATAATGCTCCCTCATTTTCCTGTTCTTGCTAAAAGTTGTTAAGTTCGGAACATACGAAACATTTTGAGGAAAACGTTGTATTTTCATTTTCCTGTAACAAATAAATATGTGCGTGCTGTTACAATGTAGAAAAATATCCGTTTATCTTCAAAAATGCCATTTCTTAACTTGCAAATTAAAGCCACACAGTATCAATTCTCTTTTACGTACGCGTCATTGTGTACGATGCGTAATAAATCTGAAAACTGACACAACTCACAATTGACAAGCTCACGAGAATTTTACTGTCAAAACAAATATATTTTCAACGTTGTTACGTTTCGTGCGAAAAGTGAAGAGACAAATCTTAGAATTTTGAATTGCTCCGAAAAATTGCAAGGACCACACAGCAAAAAAATAATTTTGATATCACGTCAAAGTGGATGCACTACTATCATGTCGAAAATATGGTGTAATATTACTTGGACAAAATTATCATTAATACAATGCATGAACTGACATTACGCTGCTTTTACTGCATTTGTTTATTTATGTGGTCATAAAAATTAAATGAAATTTTCGACATGATTGTAGTGCATCCACTTTGATGTGATATCAAAATTATTTTTTTGCTGTGCATCATGGAACCAACAGCTGAACCTGAGCTTGGTTTTAAAAGCAAACTAACAAACTGACGTT